CTGAAGGCCGTCTCTCCGAGTGCAGCCGGCTCCAGAGTCCGTGCGCGAGGAGGGGACTCCCAGGCAGCCTGCCTCCCGGCCCTTCCCAGCATGTTGTGCTCAGCCAGCTCTTCCCATCAACTCTGCTGATTGCTGGGGATGGAGAGGCAGCCAGTGGGGAGGCTGCTCGGCTCGTGTGCCGCTGGCTTCCAGCAATTCTTTCCCAGTCCCTGAGGGCCACTTGCTATGTGAGGTTTCTATACCGTGTGCCTGGCAGGCAGCCCACTCCCCTTCCCAGCCACTGGGGCTTTCCACACTGGACTTTGCAAAGTACCTCTTACTGCCTGCTCCTGGGAATCAGGGGCCTCTGCAGGAAGGAATTTGCTGGTCAGCGAGTTGAATGGAGTTGGGCGACCCTGTTCCTGTTAACAGTGACTTTAATTTGGACGCAGCATCCAGAAGGATTTGGAAATTCCCAGCCCTCCTGGTGGGCTCCCCTTGACGCCCTTGGCCCCGTGCATGCACCCGAGGAGCCTCTGTTCCAAAGCAGGGCTCGAACCACTCCTCCTGACCTGCCCAAGGAGCAGATCCTACAGCCTAGTTAGCAATGGGCACATGCACGTCAGACCTGAGGGCTTTCGCAGGGCTGAAAGGGAGCCCAAGGCTGGGCTAGCAGAGGGTTGAGAGTTCAGGAGAGAGGGGTCTGCTGGCATTAAGAGATGGGATGCCAGGAAACTGGGACACTGGGAGTCAGGAAAGTAATTCCTAGGGCAAACTCCAGATTCTGGTGTGGAGTGTGAAGCTGGAAGCATTTGGGATGGAGGTTTGAGCGATTCCCTACCCCTTCCCATACTGGTTTCACTGCGTGGGAAAGCCTCACGAGCAAGGCCCTCTTTATGACACCCTTCCCCCCTCCTCCAACCTGGAGGCCCCTCCACCACAGGGGTGCACTAAGGGCTGGAGCTGGGCTGCCAGAGTATGGAGGTGGATGGAGGCACCATTGCACGCAGCTCTGTGGGTGCGTGAAGCTGTGCATGGCTGTCTGACACAGGTCCTGGGGCCAGAGTTTCCCTGTGGACACAGCAGAGGAGTGCCTTGATTGGCTGCATCAGGGCTCTGACCACCTCCACCTGCCCAACTTTAGGCAAAGGCTGGCGTGTGCAGGAGCCCAAGCTGGTGAGAAACAGGTTGATGTGAGTGTATGCAAGAAATTGTGCCTCACCAGGGCAGAACTGCTGGAGGCTGCTGTCATTAGAGACCCCTAAAAAGCTGCCTCCTCCCCTGCCACCCCAGCAGCTCCTCCGTATCCCGAAAGTTAGGTCTGCCTTGCGACCTCCCCTGCAAGCAGGATGCTCACTGCCTTCTTATTGCCAGAAGCTCCCTGCTTCCTCCCTGTGCTGGGTGCCCTCCTGGCCCCTCTCCTAACCACTGCCCTGATGCTTTAGCTGGTATCAGACCCGTTTGTCCCCTGCCTCCCTTCCTATCCCCCGTGTGCCCTTTCACAGTCCCTCGCTAAGCCGCTGAGAGTCTACTCAGCCAACTAGTTTCATTGGACACAAATTGCGGTGTTCAGAGAAGTGCCTGCAAAGGCAACATATGCTCTAACCCTCCTCAGCAGCTCAGACCGTACAGCCAGAGGATGCTGCTGTGATGTCTTGAAAACATGCAGAAAGCTTGGGACTTTCCAGGCGCCTGCTGCTGTGGCCAGGGCTGGGATGTGGCAAGAAGTGCTGCTGGGCTATCCTCCTGGGTGGTAGGCTCGCTTGGAGGGCTCCTGGGCTCCTTCAGGACCAGGCTGGACTGGCCCTTGGCCCTCTAGCTGGTGGGGCATCTCTGCTGGCTTCTCTTTCTGCTCAATCAAGCCAAAAAACTCACTTTGGCTGACATTGCTTCCCAAATTTCCTTGTGCTGCCGTGCAGCTCCTTGACAGTAGTCCTCAAGTGTGCGGATGTTGGGTCCATGCTGGTGACGGCTTGCCACCCGTCCCTCCATGCCACTCAGCCCTGGCAGGACGCAGCCTCCAGGAGAGCTATGATCGGGATATACAACCTGGGCTAGGGCTGAGGGAGTAGCGGTGCCCCCAGCTTGTCCAGCACATGGGCCTGCAGATGGGACGGGAGAGGCTATGGGCAGTCCCAGAGGGAGCAGATGTGCCAAGGCAGTGGGGGCTTTCCCCAGACACCCCAGTTCATCCTTGAGGAAGCCAGTAAACCCCAGAAACTTGCTGGGTCCTGTGCCCAAGGTGGGGATGTAGAGCCATTACCAGTGAGCCCTTTGCGACTCCAGCATTGCCTCCTCCCTGCCGAGACGGGGGAGAGCCTGGGTATCCTATTACTCTGCTTTTTAAAACAACCGGGACTTTGTTCTCCCCCTGGGTTACTTATTGCCCTTGATAACTCTTTATGAGGGTCCTTATCAGGTACTGGTAGAAAGTCCTGGTGTTGCATCAGCAGCTCCCCAGTGCTATGTCCCCCTGGGGTGGCTCCTTGGGCAGCACAGCCAGCTGGCTCCCCTTCATGGTGCCAAGGTCTCCCGTGCCCGTGAGCCCCTCAGGCCTTATTAGGAGGGCAAGGGGGGGCAATCGAGCCCTTGCCTGCCCACCTGTGGCACGGGCCAATAGGGCCAGCAGTCTCTGGGCAGCAGTGGGGCTGTGCAGCCTGGGAAAGGGATGCTGTCAGCAAGAGCCTGATAGGGTTGGAGAGAAGATGGGGCTCCTCACTTTGGAGGTGCCCAGAGAGAGGACAAAAGACCACAACACAAGGGATTAGCTAACCCCAATCCAATTAAATCCTGAGATAAATGTTTTCAACATTAGAACACTTCAAACGTTGGAAGAGGTTGCCCAGACAGGTTGTTAAAACTTCGCCCTTGGTCCCTTCCAACCTCCACTAGTCTGTGACCTGGTGATTCTGTGAAAATGAGGAGGTCCCTGGCCCAGACACTGCTCAGAGCAGGACCAGACTTACATCAGGTTGCTCGGGGGCTGGCCCGACCGAGGGTCGACCATCTCCAAGGATGGCACTGTCGCAGCCTTTCTGCCCGTTGCCTTGGCAGTGAGTGGCCCCTGTCACCGCAAGGGCACGCTGCAGGCTCCTGTTCAGCTCCACCTGGACCCCAGAGTCATCCTGCACAGGTGCTTTCTAGCTAGCTGCCTGTCCTGTGGCATGGTATCACTCCATCCCAGGCACAGAACTTTGCGGTTTGTCTGCGTTGGCGTTGAACCTTAGGAGGTGTCCGTGAGCCCCTTTCTCCAGCTGGTCCAGGCAGGTGAACATCCACAGCTCCTGACAATTTAATGTCATTGCAGATTCCTGGGGTTTTTTTTGTGCTTGCAGAGCTGGGAGTGGGCTATGCCCTCTCCCGCAGCCCCAGTTGCAGCCTGGCCCCACCACAGCCCATACATATGTGCCCAGCTGTTTCAGGAGGATCCCAAGGCAGCAGGACATGGATGGGGGTTAGGGGACCACGACTGGGGTCTCCCAGAGCCCCTTCTTGCCCCTTCGAGGTGGGCAGCCTGCCTTGGGAACAACCAGGGAGCTGGCGGCTGCCGAGCAACATATTCTGGGGGAAGTGGAGCAGGTCGACTTTTTGGCTTCCCGGCTGGCTTGGCAGCCCGCCAGGGACTGCGCTTGGGGAGCAAACAGGCAAGCAGCAACACCTGACCTGACAAGAGCAGGTAGCAGCAGGTTGTGGGACCGGGTAGGAAACGAGAGCCCACAAACTCGAGACATGATGGGGGCTGTGTCTCTAGCGTGCCCCCCGCCTGGTGCAGTGAATGGCAGCTGGGAACAAGATAGGACACATCTGTAAGGGGGGGCTTGCTGCTTACAGGAATCCTCTCCCTTTCCTCTCCTCTGTCACCCAGCCCCCTGTCCGACTGGAGGGCTGCATGCCAGGGTGGCCGAAAATGAAACCAAAGCATCCAGGGATAAATAGGAGTGTCCGAGGCATGAGGCAGCAGTGCGCGTCCTGCTCCCAAGCAGAGCTCAGCACCCGACGCACCGGCTGCCCGCGATGGCTCTGCGCCTTCTCCT